GGGGGGGGGCGGTGTTAAAAACAAAGAACATAGAAATTAGTTTGGTTTGTGAATGTTTTATTTTAAACGTCATGGCACAGAAAGCTTACGGTGGAGACCCTGTTACTGCTTCAAACTGCAAAAGGAAATGCTTTGATTATTTGTAGCTTCGTCATTTAATCTGCATCAACTGCAATAGCGGCTCTAAACATCACGTTGTGATTTGGTCTCTTCTTGAAATAACAGTAGCCGGAATGGAACTGTCTCAGCAATATATGACTTATCCATGTGTATAAAAAAAAAAAAAGATGCAATCTATGTGGTGGGTATATGCAATTTCATGTTTGTAAACCGTGGAAGCTACAAAATCTTTTTACTATATGTAAATGATTGATTTTTATATAAATCTTTTAATACAAATGTTTTAAAGGGACGGAAAGGTGGAAATTAGGTTTAGAGACGTACAATGCTCTACACATTTGTTTCCATGCTTGGATGTTTGTACAGTATGGAAACTAAAGCGGAAGGTATCTGTAAAGAATATAGACAATGAAAACGGGACCTACAGGGTTTTTGCTCCCCACTTTTGTGCCAGAAGACTATTTGCACTTATCCCACCTTCGGTCGATGTGCAATCTCCAAGTGTCTCTTTGGCACGAGGAAGTCGTGATGACAGACGTTCAGCGGTTTCAGGAGATCAGAGATTACAGGGATTTGAAATATTAATGAGGACAATATCTTTACGAGAAATATTGTGCATTTTTAAATAGCAATGCTAGTTCGTTGAGTATGTTCTATATCATAAAAAAATAATAATCCCCAGCAGCACTTTATGTCTAATCACTATACAAAATCATTAAAGAGTAGTCAATCGAAATAAAGCATTTTAAGAAAAAAATCTCCCACTGCAATGGGATCGGTTGTTCAAGTCATCTGTAGAGTTTGGGGGTGTTGCGGCATATCGTGCACGCTTAATTTCCATTGTACTATTAGCTGTGGCAACCTTGTTAATACCTTATTGAGAGCTAAGGTGCTTGTACTTCACTGGATCTCGTCCATTGTATTAATCAGTCCTTTTTTAGGGCTCCATCATTCATGCACAGCATCACATCTGCAGCTTTTTGCCATTATAGTAATGCTTTCGATAGAGAAATTGCTAGTATCAGTTTTTGAATCGATTACCGTCATCGGTACAATGGGAATTTAAGCACAAACATGCTACTCATTTACTGTCGGTGCATAATACCTTTTTTTTAAACATATGTGACTAATTACTCAAGGTAAGATGAAAGAAGTCACATATTCGAATGCCGAGTTTTCATATGAATTATTGTGAATTCATGAGTTTACTTATCTGAAATGTTTCATTTCAAGGTTGATTTGTTTAATCAGTAACGAAGACAGGATTTTGTATAAACTATCGTGCTCTCTGTGGAACTGGAGTTTGATTTATTTTTGTACAATACAGCATGAATTTGTTTTGATTTTACTATAAATGTGTGAGATCACAAGTTACAGTGATTTTTCATTTTTAATGTGTGAAATTTGTACAACATTTGTCATGCTGGATGTTGACACATCGTACTCTGAATAAAAGAAAATGGTGTTGCCACAGCCTTGACTACATCTTCTATGAATGCAAAATAATTTAGAGAAGAAGAAATGCTTAAGACAATACAAGCTTCATGAATTAATGTCTCATGTAAATGTTAATTATTCATTTCAACTAAGCTGGCAGCCATGAATCAATAAAAGAGTAAGAGAAAGTAACTTTTATATATACCCTCCATAGACAGCAAGGTAAATACCACGTTCAAGGCACAGAAAGGTAGTAAGAACATCATTAAAATAGTCCATGTGACATCAGTGGTTCAACTGTAATTTTATGAAGCTATGATGAGCAAAAAATAAATAAATAATAACTTGATTCAACAATTCTTCTCCCCTTGAGTTACCATCTACCGCCATCATCGAGAGTAACACAACGTGTTCTACGTCAGCAGCATTTTCTTTGCGCACAAAAAGTATTCTGGTAGCTTTGTAAAATTACGGTTGAACCACTGATGTCACATGGACTATTTTAACGATGTTCTTACTACCTTTCTGTGCCTTGAACGTGGTATTTACCTTGCTGTCTATGGAGGGACAGAAAGCTCTCGTATTTCATCAAAAATATCTTAATTTGTGTTCCGAAGAAGGACGAAGATCTTACGGGTTTGGAACGACATGAGGGTGAGTAATTAATGACATAATTTTCATTTTTGGGTGAACTATCCCTTTAAGTGCAGTGTAAAAAAAAAAAAGCCCTTATGAGACCTAAAATAACTTCTTATCATGATTCCCTCAGGGGTTTTTCTCTCATTTACAATGACAGAACTGGGTGATCATTTCCAAATTTAAATTTAAATTAATTTCCAAATGTAACCTCTCTAGCCTCAGAGCTTCATAAAGCGTGGCATGTTTCCTCAGATTGTCCTGTTTTTCATGTGTACCACGTCTTGTGAAGTTTGTACCTTGTCTTTGCAAGACATATAGGCTAGTTAGTTATTATGGGCCATAACCCAAAATATACTGGCCCAAACATTTTTCAGGAGTATCTGAAAATGTTGCGCAAATCAGAAAAACAGACTAGGATACGTTCTCAAGTTTTTTTTAAAGATCTTAAACCTTTTGTGCAGGCATTGTGGCCACTTCTCACCAAATATAGCACTCGATTCCTAGTTACCTCGTACCTGTATTCTAAATTTGTTAACGATCAGTCATTCACAACACAATGTATAAGTCGAGTCTAGAGTTAAGAACGAAAATGCAAATGTTAGGGTTAGGGTCATTATATCGTATTGCATTATAGCGTCACCTAGTGTCCGACGAGTGTGTATGGGGGTAGCTGAGCAGTGGGGCATATTTCATCTCTGACGCCCAGACACTTTTAAGGCAGAAAAAGAATAAATGGCAAATAAGATAGGACTCCGGCACCTTGGGTGCTTGGACCTGTAATGAACACAGTAAGTTCAGTAACCTAACGTTCCCCTATCGTAAAATCAGAATGACTTTCCTTTGAATGCATCAGAAAATCACTGTATCTCTGACACTGGTCTTTAATGTTTCTTTCCATGCTTGGCTCTCTTCATCTACATGTGCAATGGCAAAAAGGGTCATTTGACATCATTAAATTAACACAGTAATTTCTATACTGAAATATAGAAACACGCATTTCAGTATAAGAAAATGTAAGGTAAAGTTATTTGTTATTTGATGTAACTCCCCTTGTTCTACACTATCCGTGGTTTGCGTTTTGGAGAAGCTTTGAAGGTGTTAACATATATTTAATTGATTATAAAAGGTAAATATGTAGGTAATATTATAATAGTGTCACATTATGCTTTTCCAATTAACTCCAGTCACGATGAAAATTGTATGAATGAATGAATTTCTGGTTTATAAATGGAGGGTGAATTTAATCAGATGATTTTTGCTCTAACTTTTTATACTTGGCAGTAGTTACATTGTTATAACAGTAGGTGGCACCAAGTGACCGCATTATGAGTGAGTCAGTGCACCATTCTATCAATTCAACAGATTCATTCAATCATATCAACTCATTTACGAACCAAAAATCAAGGGTGTGTTGCTCTGGGACATGCAAATGTTTTGATTAGTGTGGAAATATTTTCACTGACTTAGCAAAAATAGACAAAGTAACCAACAATATTTTGTCTAAAATGTAAGTCAATGTTAATATCTTGTTTA